AATCATGTGATCAAAATCTGGGAGCTGGGCATCCTGCTCGTACTTATGACTGCAAGGTGCTCATCAACTCAGCTTTACTTATCTACTCCACCTCCCTCCCATCTCTTACCATTTGGTCTGCTGCATCGTGAAGGGCACGCTACTTTTTCCATTCTATCCTGTTAGTGAACTTACTATGAAGAGCTAGAATGTCAAGTTGTGCCCTTGTTGTTGGTCTTAGTTGCGAAGTCATGTTCGACCCATCGCGACCCCATGGACAACGTTCCTCCAGGCCTTCCTGTCCTCTACCATCCTCTGGAGTCCATTTAAGCTCACACCAATTGCTTCAGTGACTTCATCCAGCCACCTCATTCTCTGCCATCCCCTTCTTCTTTTGCCTTCAATCTTTCCCAGCATTAGGCTCTTCTCCAGTGAGTCCTTCCTTCTCATTAGGTGGCCAAAGTATTTGAGTTTCTTCTTCAGGATCTGGCCTCCTAAAGAGCAGTCAGGGTTGATCTCCTCTAGGACTGACCAGTTTGATCGTCTTGCAGTCCAAGAGACCCGCAGGAATCTTCTCCAGCACCAGAGTTCAAAGGCCTCAATTCTTTGGCGCTCAGCCTTCCTTATGGTCCAACTTTCACAGCCATACATTGCAACTGGGAAAACCATAGCCTTGACTATACGTGCTTTTGTTGGCAGGCTGATGTCTCCGCTTTTTAGTGTGCTGTCTAGATTTGCCATCAAGTTGGGCCCTGGGCAGAGCCTGTTGTGAAAAGGTTTTTTTTACATCATTTGCATCACCTTTGTGAGGACATCGTGACCATTACTGGTCTCCATGACACAAAAAAGATGTTGAAATCCTAGAAATGGTGCAGAGAACAGCACAAAGATAAGACATCTGGAGGCTAAACCATCTGATGAATGATTGAGGGACCTAGGTATGTCTAGCCTATCAAAGAGAAGGACTAGGGATAATATGATAGCTGTCTTTCAGTACTTGAGGGCCTATCATAGAGAATTGGGAGTCAATTTATTCTCCAAAGCACCTGAGGGCAAGACAAAAAGTAATGGGTGGAAGATCATTAAAGAGAGATTCAACCTAGAAGTAAGGAGAAATTCCCTGACAGTGAGTACAATTAATCAATGGAATGACATGCCATAATCAAAGTTATGGGTACTCCATCACTGGAGATTTTCAAGAAGAGACTGGACAGCAATTTGTCTGGAATGGTATAGGGTCTCCTGCTTGAAAAGGGAGTTGGACTAGAACTGTGAGTGCGAACCTATGGCACGCATGCCACAGGTGGCACACAGAGCCCTCTCTGTGGGCACGCAAGCTGTCACCCCAGCTCAGCTCCAGTGTGCATGCGCATGTGCCTCCCGCTGGCCAGCTGATTTTTGGGTCTCTGCTGCGCAAGTACAGGGGGCGGGGCGCATGTGCGAGATGTGCACACCTGAGTGGGGGGGGTTGCACATGTATTGCATTATGGGTTATACGTGCAGGGAGGCCTACCAGGCCCAAAATGAACTGCCCCCGGAAATTCGTAAAATCTCCGATCTCCGTGTATTTCGCTGTGCTCTCAAAACCTTGTTGTTCTGCCAGGCCGGGCTATCAATGTAAAGATTTTAATTGGTTTTAAATATGGGATTTTAAATTTGGGGGTTTTATAATTGAGCCAATTATTTAATAATTTTAAATTATTTTTAAATTTTGTCTGTCTTTGTGCTTTGAATCAGGCTGTACACTGCCCTGAGTCCTTCGGGAGAAGGGCGGTATAGAAATAAAATTAAATAAATAAATAAATAAATAAATAAATAAATAAATAAATAAATAAATAAGGCACGGGGTGTGAAGTGCGGCCCCCCGCGGCCCATTTTTGCTCTCAGGAGGCTGCAGGGGGGCCTACTAGGCCCAAAACGGGGCACGAGGGGAGCTCAGGGGGTCACGTGCGCATGTGCGGGGGGAGTGTGGGTGGGTCATGCGTGCATGTGCAGGGGCAGGGTACACAGCGGGATCACACATGCATTGCATTATGGGTGTGGGCGCACACTTTCGGCACCCAACAACAAAAAGGTTAGCCATCACTGGACTAGAAGACCTCTAACATCCCTTCTGATTCCATTATCTTACATTCTGTGTTCTATCTTGCAAGCTGCTGTGGTGTTTCTGTGGGGAAGCTCTTTATCAAATCTGGCTTTTCTATGGAATTCTCTAAAAAATATAATGAAGGTACTTTAGAACTCCCAGATAAGTGCTGCTGTGAGCTCTGCCCTTTTCTGTATTGTTCTATTACTGAACAATTGTTTTATTATCTTATTCAACATGCCTGGCTCATTTTCTTCTATCGAGGTAATATTAAAACCGAGCAGAGGTTATGATATGCATTTCTTAATTAGAGCAGGGCTTATGTGCGTAAACCAACTACATCCCTTGGTTCTGTGAATTTCTTTGTTAATAACCACTCACTTTAAAATTATTATTTTTTTGTTAAAAATCAGAAGATGTCTGATAGCATCTTTTATGACTAACCAACTTTATTAGAAAGCATAAGCTTTTGTGACCTACGTCTCCCTTCATCAGAGGCATTAAGTAACTACCGCAGTGTTTCTCAGTCTTAGCAACATTAATACATGTGGACTTCAACTCTCAGAATTCTGGAGTTGAAGTACATATGTCTTAAAGTTGCCAAGGTTGAAAGACACTGAGCTAGACTGATGCAGGATTAGTCATTATGTAGGAGATGACCAGGCTGAGCCCGAGGGAGGGGTCAAACGTGTCATAAGTCCAGCAGTGGGTTCCACATATGCTTACCACCGGTTTGCCCCACACATGCATGTGTGCTTCACGTGCGAGCACCTTCCGTGCATGCACCCGGCCTCAAAAACGTGGCTAAATAGGCCCACCCACAGTTGCTGCTACCAGTTCGCCAGAACCGGTACAAACCGGCTGAATACCACCTCTACATAAGTCACAAGTCCATGTGCGGCAAGAGATCTAACACCAGCTCACCTTGAATGCCTCTCTTATCTCCCCCTCATTTTCTTTGACCGCTAGTTGGTCAGATTCTTGTTGACAGTTTAAGCTTGCAAAACATCTTTATACTCATTTGAACGGCCTGAATCTCCTAGTTTCCCCAGCGCTTGACGCATTGTTTGTTATCAAAGACATCTCAGAACCCAGCACTGATCTATGTTTTACGATGTGAAGCCAGAACTGTTGGCTTCATACTGCCCTGCTGTGGGAGTGTGTTTTCTCCCTTGACATTATAGTCTAATTTTTAACCCATTATTGTTCTGCTGCAGGGGAGTGTTACAAGAAGGGTGTTTAGGAAGTAAATGAAGAGATAAGGACAGAAATTTTAGTGATCTACAGAAACCTAGCTTTCTCTACTATGGGTTTTTCTCCCTATCAGCACAAATTAAGGGCCTGGTGGCTCAGCAGACTAATAGCATTGTGATTAACACCAGCTGTCTGCAATTACTGAAGGTTTGAATCTCACCAGGCTCAAGGTTGACTCAGCCTTCCATCTTTTCTAAGGTAGGTAAAATGAGGACCCAGTTTGTGGGGGCAATAAGCTGACTTTGTATAAATATACAAAAGTATGAAGGCTATTGCTTAACGCATTGTAAGCCGCCCTTAGTCTCCGGAGAAGGGCGGCATATAAATCATTTTTTTTTTTTAAAAAATATTGTTAGTTGAATCTGCTCTGCTTGCCACAGATTATGTCTGCCAACACAGAAAGTGTCTACCCGTTAGAACTGAATTGAAGCTTTCTCACAATTCTGTCAATCAGTTGTTTTGTAGACTGAAGTGAACATTCTTATTTGAACACTTTTTAATTACGTAGAGCAACTGAAAAGTTGTCTGTAATCCCTGTATTACAGATTAATATGTTGGATGAAGTTCGACATTTGGTCTGAAGAAAGGCTCTTATATAGAGATGATTGAACACGAATAATGCAGGAAATTAACGCTACAAAAAGATTATGAGCTGCTGATTAATTATTCTAATTTTAATTACCTTTGTGGAGGCTTGGTATAGATTTTCCTTCTGACTATAGCATGTTGTAGCCAATCTTAAAATATATAATACTAACTTGAGGATTTTACATTTACTCAGGTGCAAAGTCTATTGGGTGCTATTGGAACAGTAATTTTCCTTCAAATGACCTTCTCAGGAGTTGGAAATTAAAAATGATAGATTAGGTTGAAAATATAATAAACCAAATAAACAATTGAAACATGTGCTTATACCATATTAAGTACTGCATTTATATTATTATAAAAAGCAAATACCAACATATGCTTCCAAAAACTAGAAAAAGAAGGAAAACTTAGCAAAATGTCCATAAGAGTTCATGCACATTTATGAATAGATCTTTAAAGAATTCCTTTATATTAGTACAATATATTGTTTATGTATTGACCTGTACTCACATAAGAAATTTTGGCTATAACACGGGTGTCAAACACGATTTCATTGAGGGCCGCAAAAGGTTTGTGTTTGTCTTCGGGGGGGGGAGGAATGGGTGTGGTCAGGGTGGACATGGCCAGCTTGAAATCATTTGGGTCGGGGGCACCTGTGGGGGCCCGAGTGCTCTGTCAGAGAAACGGTCTCCCGAGCTCCGTTTTCAGCTGCGATGGCCTCCTGCAACCCTCTGCCAGAAAAAACAGAGTTCATGAGGGCCATGTGTGGCCCTCACGAGCTCCATTTTTGGCTACAACAGCATCTTGCAACCCTATGCCCGTGAAAAGAGAGCTCAGGAGAGCCGCATGCAGCCCTCACAAGTTCCAATTTCACTGGCAGAAGCACCATGGGTCAGTCCAACCCCATTTCCAGGGTGGCCCTGTGGGGCAGATCTAAGTACCCCAAGGCCAGGTCCGGCCTCTGGGCCTTGAGTTTGACACCCATGGGCTATAACATCAATCAATTGGTTTCATTCATTTGTCTTATTGGCAGAAAAGAAACTAGTCAAGGCACTTGGTCGAAGTAACCTTGTGTGATCTCATTTTCTCATAGAAAGTCATATTCTGGAGGATGTAAACAAGTGCATTATTGCCTTAAGAGAACAGAATCCCGACGAACTGGACCGTGCGGCTGGTGCCCTCCGTGGGAGGGCAGCAAGAGTGGTGGACATTGTCTCTGGTGAGATGGACAATTATGAGACCGGAGCCTACACTGAAGGAGTGATGAGAAATGTGCGCTATCTCTCAAATGCCGGTATGTAGATATGCATTTTTTCCTAGGTTCTTAATTTCTGTTGTGTTTCCACAAGGAATATAACCAATTCACTAAAACTGAAATTATAGTTGACTTGTGTATTTTATTACAAAAGTTAAAGGTGTCCATTTAGGAATATTTGCCTAGATTTCTGTATGCTGTAGGAGACCTATGTTTTCTATGTTTGATATCTGTCTCTCACATGTTCCTCGCTGTATATAAAAATAGATAAAACATGGCGTTATTTAGTAGGTGGCCATAAGAGATCCACTTTATTCTCAGGATGAGATTGTATCTATGAAGAAGTAATTTGAACACCCAAAATAGCTATTTAACACCAAAGAAAACAGAATAAGCCTTTTCATTTATTCATCAGTTTTTTTATCCATCTTTATTATTTGTATACAAGAGACGTGGTGGCTCAGTGGCTAAGACACTCAGCTTGTTGATTGAAAGGTCAGCAGTTCAGTGGTTCGAATCCCTAGTCCTGTGTAATGGGGTGAGCTCCCGTTACTTGTCCCAGCTTCTGCCAACCTAGCAGTTCAAAAGCACGTAAAAAATGCAACTAGAAAAATAGGGACCACCTTTGGTGGGAACATAACAGTGTTCCGTGCGCCTTTGGCGTTTAGTCATGCCGGCCACATGACCACGGAGACGTCTCAGACAGCGCTGGCTGTTCGGCTTTGAAATGGAGATGAGCATAGCGCCCTAGAATCGGGAACAACTAGCACATATATGTGAGGGGAACCTTTACCTTTACTTTATTATTTGTATAAATAACTCAAGGTGGAGAACGTACATAATATTCTTTCTTCCTCCTATTTTTCCCACAACAGCAACCCTGTGAAGTAAGGTGGGCTGAGAAAGAGTGATTGGCCCCAAGTTACCTGGCCACTTTTCATGCCTAACTTGGGACTAGAACTCATGGTCTCCTGGTTTCTAGGGCAGCAGCTTCATCTCCATACCAAACTTTCTACAATTCTACAGTCATACAATTTTTTAAAATATAACTCTGTATTTTTCTGTTTTGGTGGGAGGTATCCCTTCAGATTCTCAGGCAGATGATTTCCTACTACCACCTGTATCCAATCTGCTTAAATAGGATTAAATTAGAAACATAGCTCTTCGTGTCAATTGTTGTAGTCTACTATTAAGCTAGAATTCCTCTGTCAAAAACTGTGATTATTACTTGATTTGTGTTAAAATGTAGCTGCTGGAATTGTGAGCAACACATTCCTCTTTCTCACCACAAATGTAATATAAGAGTCAAATGGGCCGTAGAGATATTCGTACAAATAATTTATTTCCCTTTATGTCCTGAGGGATATACAAACATGTTAATTTCAATGTCTCCCATTTTTCTTTTCTCCATTTTTACCTCATTATGGGGCATCACTTCATTATTTTTAAAAGGCTGGCATAACAATTTGTACTTATTTTCATACGCATTTTTCTAAAATGCATAATTTTACAATTAACTTCTCCCAGGAAGCGTTGTTTCCTTGTTGTTTATATATCCCATTAAAATATTTATTTTATCTCAATGAAATATGTCCACACAAAGGGCAACGGAAGGATGCCTTTTGCTCCTTTCCTTTGGAATAACAACACTCCCCCCCCCCGGACATTGAAATGGCCCCTTTCCTTCTGACACTCAGAAAGTCTATGAAACTTCAATGTCTTCTAACTGGCCTTAGGAGTTGAATGATATGGCTTTCAATGGGGAGTACTTTAATTGTAACTTTATCAAGGGTGATATATTTTTGGGTTTTCATAAATTTGTAAATGTAAATGTACGTATTTTGATGCACTTGGAATTTTTTTTTTTTTAAAGAGCAACCATCCGTACTGTCACTATCTCCACAAACAAATATCCTTTGGAATAGCTGTCTTTAGTCCAGCTGGTCATAGTGATGGATTGATTAAGAATACGTTCAAAATATCCACCTCCTTTCTATCTTCTTTCTTCAGAATATATTGTGTTGTTCTCATTAGTTTGGTTGTCGTTATATTCAATTTGACTTCCATTTTTTCACTGTGCTCCTTGACTTTTCTTACTAGAGTTTGCAGATGCTTTGCATTTTCAGCTGTCAGAATGGTCTCATCAATACAATTCAGGTTACTGATGTTTCTTCCAGTGGTGGGTTTCAATTTTTTTTATTTCTGGTTCTGTGGGTGTGGCTTGCTGGGCATGGCATGGCTTGGTAGGTGTGGCTTGGTGGGCATGGCAGGGGAAGGATACTGTAAAATATCCATTCCCTCCCCAATCCAGGGGAAGGTTACTGCAAAATCCCCATTTCCTCCCAATCAGCTGGGACTTGGGAGGCAGAGAATAGATGGGGTTGGGGCCAGACAGAATTTATACTACCAGTTCTCCGAACTACTCAAAATTTCCGCTACCGGTTCTCCAGAACTGGTCAGAACCTGCTGAAACCCACCTCTGATTTCTTCCTTCAGTTTCAAAGCAATATTCATCCTCTTCCAATTTAGTTTTTCCTGTGATTGTTTTTCTGTATGCATTTCTTCCAGTGTCCTTACAGATACTTTTGTAGTCTTGTCTCTTTGAACATTTCTCTGAAGTTCTTTGTTGAGTTTCTTCCTGAGAGCCTTATCTTTCACAGCACTTCTTGGCATTTCCACTATTTGTTCTGACATCCAGATTGTTCTCTTCTGTTTCTTAATCCTTGACAATCTGTTTTCACGTTCCTCCTTAACAGTACTTATTTTAAGTTCATCCCAGAGCTGTTCTGATTTTTGATTGATGAGATTCAGGACTTCAAAGTGATTCCTGATGTTCTCCTTGAAAATGGTGGGAATGTTGTTGAAACTGGTTGTCTTCCTCCTACTGCTGTAGCTCAGCTTGGAACCATCATATGAGAAGTTCATGATCTGTTTTATCCTCAGCCCCTGGCCATATCTTTGTTGTTATAACTAAGCTCCTCTACCTTTTTAGCAATAATACACACAGTTTGATTTCTATGTACTCCAACTACTGATGTCAATGTAAACGGGCATCATTTTGGTTGTTGACAGACATTGATAGCTATGAAGAAAACATTGGAGTGGTAGCAATGGATAAGTGATTCTCCTGCTTCATTTTGGCTTCTTAAGATATATAATTCAATTACATTTTCCTTTTTAATATTTCCAACTTTAGAATGCCAAAGTCTTCAATCACATGCAGCACATCTTATTTGCATGTTGACTTTAAACTGAACTTGATCATAAACCTCTTTAGTTGCTTCTTCTTCTATATGGGTGGTTGAAGCATAAATTTTAAGGACTGGTTTATTAAAGGGTTGCCCACGAAGTCTAATCAATATTATTCATTGATTCCATTGTGACCATGTACTGTCTTCCTTGTCAGCCTTCCCTACTTTATTAATAACTACTTTATTGTAAGGCTACATCAGATTTGCAGATGACACCAAAGTGGGGAGGATTGTTAACATATTAGAAGATACAGTAAGCTCAAGATTTAGACGTATCTTGAAGATTTGAGCAATGGACCTTAGCCAACAAAATGCAGTTCAGTGGTGAAAAAAGTAAGGTCCTGCACTTAGTAGGGAAAAACCAAATGCACAGGTATAGACTAGGCCAGTGATGACTAACCTTTTTGTCTTCGTGTTCCAAAAGTGTACGTGTGCATGAGTGCCAGCATCCATAATGCAATGTGCGTGCCGCATGTGCCCCCCCCCGTGCCCCATTTTGGGCCTAGCAGGCCTCCCTGCAGCCTCCTGGGACCAAAAATCGGCCATGGGGGGTGCTGCCCCCCCTGCGTTCCCCCTGCTCCAGCGCATACATGCATAATCCTCCCCATGCATGCACGGCAGAGACCCAAAAATCAGCTGGATGGCAGGAGGCGCACGCACGTGTACGGTGAACGATGGAACCTCAGGTTCCAACCCCCAGGGCTTCTGGGGGTTTGCAGGGGTTCAGGAGAACCTCTAGCTAAGATTCTGTGCAGTTTGGAGAACCCCCAAATCCCACTCCTGGCTGGCCCTGCCCACCCCACCCCTCCCAGGAGTCCCCACACGGCCTGTTTTGGATGCAGGTAAGTGCAGGCTCAGGGAGGGCGAAAAACAGGCCTACCGGAAGTTCGGGAAGGCTGGAAATGAGCCCGTTTCCAGCCTCCAGAGGGCCTCCGGAGCCTGGGGAGGCTGTTTTTGCCTTTCCAGAGGCTCAAGGAAAGCCTCCAGAGCCCAGGGAGGGCAAAAACACCCCCCCACACCGTGGTGCAGGAGGCCGACTAGGCCACGCCCACCATGGCCATGCCCACCCAGGAACTGGGCAGAGAACCCCTTGCTAAAATTTTTGAAGCCCACCCCTGCTCAGGTTCATGAGTTTCGTTTACATAGACACAGAGTGATAGAATAAAAACGAAAGAATATTCACTAGAAAAACACTGGGAGAGATTTTTTATCAGCTTGTCCTACCCAAGCTCACAAAAGTTATCATTGCTACTTTGAAAAAGGGTTGACTTTACACTTTTCCGGTAGAGTTCTTCATGTGTTTTTAACGGTAGTCCATGTTTAATATAATGTGTATTAATATAATGTCTATTAGGCCTAAGATTAACTGTTGAATGCTGCTTTTTTGTAGCAGCCTATTCAGAATCCATTTCTAGCTGGTAAAGAATGCTAAGGTCCATTTGTGCCAAATCTTTGATTCCACTTTAGGCAAATTTATGCTGAAAGGCCCATTCATGCTACAATCAGAAAACATTGTTTTCTGTGTATGTAAATCATTCTCTATTTTGACTGTTAGCTATATGGCATTTGTTTTGTCTGTCAGTGCCAATTATTTCATATAAAATGACAGATTTCTAAAGAGAAAAACAGAAGCACACACAAAAAAAGCACATTCCATAATTGTTCTTTAACATAATCTGTGACTTGAAGGGCATTCTAATAGAAGAGACTATATGTAGCTCAGGGTCACACTGTGAAATCCTTGGTGCTCTCTGCATTTGGCTGTTTGCTTGGAGGCATTTCATGATT